CACTGCAAAGAAGAGTGCATCCGTATGTTACGCATTAAAGCCTCACCCATTAGTTTAGTGGTTCCTGCATTGTCATAACGAATGCCCCTCCTACGAGAGAGTCTCTCGCTGTGCCGGCCCACTTGCCAGAGCCCTACCAGGCATAGCGTTTGTGCCATGGTGTCCATACATGCACACACCCATTCACACACACATTCACACACCCATTCACACACACAATTGAATCGGTTTTTTGTATGTCTTTCCTCTCTATTTTCCCTATGTACTTTCCCTGTCTCTAAGCACGCTCTTCTAAGCAATGCCAAATAGTGGGCACTCCTTGTCTGGAGTGCCTGCCGCACTATTAGGGCGGCCACTCAGTGGCATAGCATTTGTACCATGGTGTGCATACATGCACACACCCATTCACACACACAATCAGTTTTATGTATGTCTTTCCTCAATTATTTCTCCTATGTACTTTCCGTGTCCAACTAAGCACTTCAAAGCGATGCCAAACAGTAGGGCACTCCTTGTCTGAAGTGCCTGCAGCACTATTAGGGCGGACAATCAGCTCTGGATGTGGGTGTATACTACATGGGTGACGATGGATGTTTGTCGGAGCGACAACAGTCTGTGGGGTTCACTTGTGGTGTGAGTAGATGATGCATTTCCTTGTGTGGGCTGCCCTGTCTATGCTCCGCTGCTGCCTTGCTGCCCATCCCGCTTGCTTCCCATATCGTTCTTTGCAGCCGGTGTGTTTACTGAGTAGTTCGGATCTACGTACCACCGTGTTCGTGTTCGGAGGCGAACGCGAACAAGCGCCCAAAACCCTCCGAACGCGAACATAAAAAAAAAAAAAATTCTGAAAAAAATATGTCATGTAAAATAACCATACAAGCAACTTTTGCCTTGGATTCATGTTTTTTTTTTTTTTTTTTTTACGGAAAAAATTATGTTCGCCCGAACATTTTCGCGAGCTGTTTGCGCGAACGTGAAGGGGCGCGAACACGTTCGCCGTGCTACGCAGGTTCGGATGTGTTGCTGGTGTTGCTTTGTGCTCAATTGCGCTGTTGCCTTGCTGCCCATCCGTGTGCCTCGTCTCCCCTTCCACTTCTCGCTTGGGTGCCCTGAAGTTTAGCTGCTTTGTGCTTCGCTGTCTCGTTGCCGTGCTGCTCGTCCACTTGCTCTGTTGCTCCGTGCAGTCAGCTTCGGCGTTGTGCAGCTGGGTTGCCCCCCAGCATTGCCTGATGCTCTGCTGAGTTACTGCCTGCTGCTATGTTGCTATGTGATGTTTTGCCGGCCGACTGTCTGCTTTCAACAGGTGGCAAAATCGTAATGGACCAAAGCATCAATATGCGGATTGCCAGATTATTGAGGGCTCAGCATCCTGATCAGTCGGTGCATCAGTTTTTTTTCCTTTCCTTTTTTGGAACTCTTTTTTTTTTTTTTTTTTTTTTTGGTTTTTTTTTTTTTTTTTTTTATTTTTTTGGGATTTTTTTTTGGAATTGGTTTTTTTTTTTTTTTTTTTTTTTTTGGTCCGTGTTTGGTCGAACGGCCGAACGTGTCGAGAGGGGGTGCCGATATAT